GATATTTTTCTCAGGTAAATGTTACTTTGTATTTCTCAGGAGGCCAGAAGTCCAATGGGATGAAACTGTTGCTCTTAATTGATGGACATGTTAACAACTAATTGTTTACTAAAATGTTAGCCATAACAATTGTAAAAGCCGATCACATTTCAGAAATGTACATCGGTCTTATTGTAGAGATTTCTACTTCTATATGTAAGAGGTTGCTATTAGTGGATTTAAAGCCAGATATCTTCTTCAGAAGTGAGTTGAGATCAAAACGAGTGAAACTTGTCTCCAACTGAATGCTAAAATAAAAGTTCATATATTCACAGTTTTTTTCTGCTGCCAAAAAAAAGGTTTAAGGCCAATTACACTTGAGGGGAAACAGCTGTTAAAGTTGTCTTTGTGGTACCTGAGATAAAGTACTTGTGTGGGTCATCATCATCCATTAAATATGGTTTTCCAGCGGGGATGAAGGGCTTCAAGGGCTCGAAGGAGAGCACTTTGTTGGAGATTACTGTAGAAGCGGGTTTCGGTTTCTGGGCCAAAAGATAACAGAGAAACATTAAAACATGCAATGACTCCTGTCAGGGTCAGAGGTCATACAAACTATGACCAAACCTGTTTATAAGCCTCAACAGAAGGTTTATACAGGAAGCTACATAGCATAAAATACCAAGAAAAACACAGATTTAATGAAAACCTATTCCAGTAAAGGTTCAGAGAAGTAGTAAATGGAAATTTGTGCCATAAGAAAATGGATTATAAAGCTGATATTTCCTCTTAATTATCTAATAGGGTTAATTAATGTGAATCTCAGAGACATAATTTGTGGTTATCAGTCCTTCTGGAAAGCTGATCAGTTTTACCTCTCAGTCTTTTTTAGGGCGGATTACATTACAGTGAACTGACACTGGAGTTCCACCATGGATAATTAAACAAGTGTGTACCTATTCAGAGGCGCCATGTCAACATGTGTGTGTGTGTGTGTGTGTGTGTGTGTGTGTGTGTGTGTGTGTGTGTGGACGATAGAGTGAGAGGGAGAGTGATAGAGCCAGAGTGTGTGTGTGTGTGTGTGTGTGTGTGTGTGTGTGTGTGTGTTACTTCAGACTGTTGGTTGGTGTAGTTCACAACAGGTGGCAGTGCTGTTGATTGCCGTTGGATCTTCGGTCCCCCTTCTCGGTAATACTCTGACAGCGCTTTACGACATGTTTCAGAATAGCTGCAGGCAAAGTAGTTCCGTCTTTTTGGAATGAAGCCTAAAACAGCAACAAGCATTAAACAACACTAAAGTAATGCATCTGAAGTTCTTCTGGTGTCTAGCCATGGAGATAGTTTTGGTTTTAATTGCCTCAGGTTTTGGGATATCTGTCTCTGGGATTACTGCATCCACTCAAATGGAGGTGAATAGATATCTGTCTCTGTTGCTCTGGATAAAACACAGAACAGTGGCGGACTCAGGCTGTTTGAGGGGCAGGGGCAAAAAGGTATCATTATTATTATAAATTAAGTATTTATGGTGAAACCATTTAGTCAGGGTTAGGATTAGCTCCCTATATGGCACTTCAACTTGTTATGTCCACTGGAAGGGCCCCTGAGAGTGCACATTATCATGTTTTATCTACTATAAGGGTGTCCAAGGTGGCACTTTTGTGTAATTTTTTTATACATGGCGGCACCTGGGGGCTGAATCCACCTGTGCCACACAACAAAGAGTTTTCAAAAAGATTATTTCTACTGCACAAACTATTTCAAATTAAAACAGTTCTCAGCGATGTCTATGGATGATCCAAAGTAACCAGGACTTTGTTTTTTATGTTGTGCTAAATAGAACAAATAAAACCAAATCAGAATATATATTGGTGAGGAAAGTCAGAACACATAGTGTGTGTTTTTTTTTTTTTTTTTTTTTTGTAATTTGGGTGAACTGACCTTTTTTTTCTGCCAAATATTTCCACAGGATTTGAAAAAGCAACGTAAGCATTAAAAAAAAAAGGGACTTTTACTTTGAAATCGCTACTGGACTGCTACACTGCAACAAATATGGCTGTTTGGTCTATGTTATCTTGATTTTCAACACTGTTCCACTTCATTAGTCAGCTATACTTAATAATTTAACAAGCGGACAAAGATTATTCTCACGTTGTCATGGTCTTGTGAAAACTCGCATAAAGGCTTATTGTGTTTTATTATTGTGTATTGATCTCATTAACAACTTGTACAATTAAAAGTGACCAAACTTTGTACTAGTGTTTGTTCCCAGTATAAAATAACGAGGTGTTCAGTTACCAGGCGTTGACCCTCCCCCCTCCCTACTAACACTAGTGTGTGATACCTACCTGTGTATCCTGGTATCATCTTCTTCAAGTTACTGTCAGGGAGGGTTCCCAGTGCCGGAGCAGGGTCGGACTCTGTGGAGGGGATGAGACCCGTGTGGAGGACCAGACGATTGGAGTGTCTCACTGCAGGACTGGTCAGCAGCTCGGCAGTGAGCTGGCCGTAAGACTTCCCCATACTGTACTTCAGCTGTGGACAATAGCCTGCATACCTGTAAACAATAGAGTCTGGGGTAAACACAATCTCCAGCACCAGTAGTGCCTCAGCTTCAGAGCTGGAAACAATAAGATATCATTAGTTAATGTATATGTATGTAAACTTATATATAGATCTATATGAACTATGTAGAGGGGAAATGCTACTTTTTATGAACTCAAACTGTTACATTATGGTCATATTTTGTTTGGATACAATAACACAATTGTTTTATCCAAACTATTTTACTAACTTACTTTACTGTGGTATTACACTGGCTTTCACAAACCAACAGTACAAACAATAACACCAACAGATAAAGCTGCAACTATACCGTTAGCCTAGATTTAACACTAACTTACTCAGACCAAAATGTAATCAAATCAATAGATACAATAACATTATATATATATATATATATTCATTGAAATTTCTGTTTATTTATATATAATGTATTATTTGACATGATCCTGGTCTCCTGGCATACATAAATTGAACAGTAACAAGAAGAAGCCCTGCGCAGTCATGCAACACTATTATTTTACTTTCAATATCAACATTAAATGGCTATGTCAAAGCGACTCTCGTGTCAGGAGGCTTGTACTTACCCCGGTATATAATGCGGATCAGGGGTGACCAGAACTTTGCTGAATTTAGGGGCGTATTTCTCCATACTGGTCCCACAGGAGGCTGCAGCAGGTCGCCGGATGACCGCGGTGTTTGCTGGTTGCTACAGAGAATAAAACACAAACATTCTGATGGAGCTCGCTGTCTTTAAACTGACGTGTAAAAAGAGACCTTTTTTTCTCTGCAAGGGCACAAATACTGTTGTTTGCTATGAGACTTAATACTGTGGTAGTGGAGGGGATTTACATAATGTGGCAGATAAAATTCATTTCTAGTGCGTGTAGCTCTCAGCGGTCACTCACTAAGTATCACCTCTGTGGAAGTTCAGAGAGCTGAGTGCTTTATTTCTGTATTAACATTCATTATCTTTAATCAGTTTTTTATTTTGTCTAATTCAGCTAAAGGACTAAACATGAGGAGTGTTAAAAAGGAGGACTGGGTGTTGTTGTTCAAAGTGAGTTTTTGAATAAATACATAGATGCTCAACAACGACCCCTAGCGACAGGTTTTTGCCCAGAGGAGGAACTAGTATTCTGACTGTATACTGAAATATATCAAGTAAAAATACTGCTAAAATGAATTACAAGAATAAAATATGAATAAACAAAGATAAATAAACATGAATTAATAATAATTAATATAAAATAACATTGTTATTTATTACCATACAACCTGTAAGGAGGTATTTTAAAACTGTTTATTACATGTTTTTATTATTCAGTTAAATGTTCATTTGTATTTTCAGCATATTTGATTTCCCTATTTAATGCCGACTCCACACTAGTCATAGGCTAAATAGGCCTTATACTTGTGTTTTGTATTTTTTATTTTGTTTGTTTTTGTATGTTTTCCATTCCATTTTTTTTGTTTTGTTTTTTGAACAATGATTTTTTTACCCTATAGCTGCCTCATATAAATACAGAGGACATGGGCACAGTGTCCTCAGTTAGCAGCTATGGCACTGATATGAATGTATGTGAAAACAGACTTGAAAAAATCTGAACCTATCCCTAAGCACATACAGATAAATAAATATATAGACAATGAACACAAGTTGTAGTTTCTGTACTGTTGGTCTGCTGAAAAGAACAAACAATAACATAAAAGTGACCAAGTAGACTGGCTGGAGGAGTAATTAAATCACAGTTAACATTCATCAGGACAACAACCAGACGTAACAGGGTGCACTGACTCGAAGTAACTTTATGAATGAGCCTTTGTGTTTGATCAGATTCGGTCACTGTTCACCTGGGGAATGTAGATGAAATCAGCAGACAGGAGTGTCCATTCTCCACATTCCTACTCTCAGAGAAATCTTGCTGAAATGACGAAACAGCGTTTCTTCTAACAGTTCCCCTTCTCACATACCATAAGACTGTATATCCAGTGAGGAATTTGGACATATTATGTTACCCCTCTCATATGCTCACACCCATGAACAAATAGGCTGTGTTAAAGCTTGAGTTTTGTTGCCATCTCAACTTGTGGGAAACATTTAAATGGCAGGCCTTGGACTTGTTGTTTTATCTTTGATGGGATTTTACCTATCAGCATTCCTTTACAGCGCCTCTGTTTCTGAGAAGACCAACTCAAGTTTAATTCCAAGTACTGTCTGTAAATACACAGATAATGTCACCGTGTCACGGCTTGTTCTTGTTTTGTCTTGGATTTCTTACAGGTGTGAGGACAAATCCAACATTTCAAGTAACACTGCAGATGAGTCACTTTTTTTCCCTGGGAATTAGTGACAGGAAGGAGCAGGTATCAACATGCAGCTCCGCGCTGTGACAGGACAGATGCTAGAAGGATGGGCGTGGTGAAGAAACGGAGGCGGATCAGAGGGAATGTTTTGAATTCTGTATCACCAGTTCACCTCAGCTAATGACTGCGTGGGCCGTCTCAACCGGTGCTCATTTACCTGCTGCAGTTCAGGAGCAGAAGAAGTGTGACGGACAGAGGGCAAACGTGTGGAGATGAATCTATACAGGAGCTTTGGAAACCTCATGGAGGCCTGGGTGTCTGAAGGAGGCCAGTGTTCGGACCCAGAATGGCCTGAAAATAATGAGGAAGACTCTCCTACACCTTCCTCTGACATGGGGACCAACCTGCGCTCAGAATCGGTGGACTCTGGAGTGGAGACAGCCAGCTCTAACTTGTCCTTTCTCGCTACATCCTGCTCCATCTCAAGGGATAATGCAGAAATAGACACATTTACACCAGAAGGGGAAGACCACAGACTCACTCCAGCCTCAACATCACAGTCTCCTGTGCCTTCCTTATCCTCCTCTTCCTCCATGCGCCTCTGTCCCAGCAGAGCTCAGGGGGGCTACACTGCCTTGAGTCAAAAACTGGAGGAAGCATTACAGAGAACTGAGTCTAAACACCTGAAGGACAAGCCAGAGCCCATCACTGTGGGTGAGGTGCTCAGACGACAACCTGGAGCATCTTTTCTACCAAAACGGCACACATCGGAGTTAGTGAGGGGTCAAAGGTCGGCGAGTTTTAGCCTGAGCAGGACAGTCAACCCATCAGTGCCTACAAGGCAGTTGTGCAGACGACCAATGTCTATGATTTGTAACAGGCAGCCAGCTCAGACAAGATTGGAGGTGAGATACTGTTTAGATCACAAACCAAACTGTGTTCAAATATGCAAGAATTTCGCATTTCTGGAAAAGCAGAAAAGATCCAAAAAATGACATAATGTGTGTTTTTTGGGGACCTATTTCCAGATTACATAAATTTCCCAGTAACACGTATGGTCTTGCACAGCTTTCACAGGGTTGTAAATGTTAAAGGACGGCCTGAAAGAAAGTCCCAGAGGTGTGAGGCCTATACTTTGCCCGTAGTTGAGGGGTTGCAATACACCAAGTTGCTCTCAAATGTAAAGTAGGACAGGCATGTCATTACTCACACAGGATCTCTTTCATGCTCGCAACCCGTCACCAGTCAGTCTGCGGTGCAAGGGATCATAAACCAGTCTGCCCAGTTGACTTTACACCCACAGGCATGAGAGGAATGGACGGAGACACGAAGGAAGTTGAGCAGAGTGTGGGGTTTTTGATAAATCCGACAGACACGTTGTTAACCTTGATTTGAATTTTGATTTTAAGCAACAAAGTGTATGAACATTGGAGATGTTCCTCTTCATATTTGCCACGAGTCAGTGTTCATCCTGTCATGTTGACAACTCACAAAGGGACTCACAAACAAATGGATTCATCATCTAAGTCGTATTCAATTACTGTAACTGTTTTTTTAGTCTTTGGGTGTGTGTGCACTTTTTTGAATGACAGTCAGGATTAAAGGGCTTTGATAAATGCAACACTGAGAAGTCAAACAATGACAAGTCGACATAGTTACTCAATTATATCATTTTGCAATTACATGTGATTATATTTTCATTATCCTGGTCGGCAGCTCGTGCAAACATGCATAAATGAGAAATGAAAAAACAATCAGTCAGCCAAACAAATCTGGATATTCTGACTAAACAGGTTGAGAATTTAATTGTTACAAATTAATATTGTGATATTACAAATGTAAAACTCCCATACATCTATTCTTAGCACCATTTGGCTGATCTATATATATACACATCATTATATTATTATTATTATTATATTACTCTCTAATTCTGTTCTCTTCTATTCAATTCTAGTTAGTGCTGAATAGAGTTAGATTATCAACATAAAATGAATTGACACAGTGTTTGATAGTGAACGTATCATGTTGCTTTTGTTTTAAATGTGAGAATTTGCTACTTCTTTTTTTGTTTTACCTTGTTATACATTCAACATCTGGTGGTAGCAGGCTTGGGCTGTTCAATCTGTATACACTGTACTTTTATTCTGTCCTACAAGTTAACACTTTTCTTGCTCAATGATCTGTGCAGGACCTTGGTGAGGAGGAGGGGAAAGGACTGAGTCCCGGGCTCTGCTACTTGGAGCAGGTGTGCCAAATGTTAGAGGAAATTGCCAGAAAACAGATGCACAACCAAGCGTTGCAGATGGAGACGAATGCCCTGCGGGAGCATCAAGACATGGAGGTGAGCCAGGTGGAGCCATTCATGTATCGCCTCTTTGCAAGGGCAATTATGAAGTTGTCACAGTTTCCACCACTGGGTTTATAAACATGATATGAGCTTGTCAAACTGGTGATGACAAGATGCCATCTTGCAGCTGGAGGGTTAATACTGTATGAATTAAACTATGACAGCATTGTGTTTACCATCACTTGGCTCTCTTTAAGGCTCTCGACGGCCATCAGAGTGACTCTAAAGCTACTGAAGACGTCCCCTCTTCTTGTCGAAGGCTTGAAGAGACAGAAAGTGCAGAGCCCAGTTCCAGTGAACCACAGCAACAGAAAGATTATCCTCAAAGGCATTTTCGACAGCGATCATCTTCAGACGCACCTATTACAACACTGCATTTAAGTGAGTCATAGTCTGCCTGTTCCTTTCCATTTTCTCCTTTTGTGTTGATATGATTTGTATCTTCAATATATTATATTAGACTTTTCAATAATTCAGTAATAATCTTGTCATGTGTATTGTAGTTATTGTATGTGTGTGTGCTTGGTACAGGAAAGTTGAATTCAGACTGCAGAGGGCAGCATCTGAGTACAGATGACCTGCTGCAGAAAACAGAGGACGACCATGAAAAACAGGTAGAATACACTCAAATACATATTCTGTAGTTAAGCAATAAACACAGTCCAAATACTGGCTAAAGCGTGTGTTTTTTTGTCCTCATAATCTTCTATTATTTTGGTTCATGAATTTTTTATGGTGTCTTTTCAGGAGTGTACAAAAGAGAAGATGACTAAAACTAACAAGAACTGGAAGTTAAGATTTGGGTCTTTAGGAAGAGAGGAGTCTGCTGGGCGAGATGTAAAGAGGTGAGAAGTGTAACCTCCAAGGGGGGCAGCATTATTAATCTCATATGATGCATGATGCTCTGAGGAAATGTCTGTGCTACTCCAACATGGCAGCCAGCCACACCGACGCAGTGGCCCAGAGCTAATGCACAGTAGCTGCTCAGATGCTTTGGTGGGAGTTCATTTTTTAGTCTGTGCCTCTGTTCCTCTTGAACATTTTGTCCCTTTTTTTTTTCATTAACCTTAGCTAACACACTTGCTCCCAGCTTTCCACAATGCCTTGCTCCAGCCCTGTTTCATGAATTTTTTATCTATACAGCCAACAGATGCAGTCATCTGAGAGAAACTCAGCCCGGCGACGGTTCAGCCAGCTGTTCAGGAGGACCAGGAGGAAAACTCTGCCTGTATAAACCATGATGGACATTTTTGTTTCAGCAGTGACGAGGAGAAGGCTTTTCTTTGAAAGTCTGAGCACTGTTGCTGCTTTCAGACTTCTTATTCAGCCCATGTAATGCTGCTATGTTTATTTATTGTCTGCTATACTTGCCAATATTATTTATACTGATGTAAAGTACGATTTTCAAAGGAAATTGTAAAGGGCAATGGAGTTTATAGTACAAGCTTGACTTTACAAATATTAAACTATTTTTTCCCCCAATCAAAGCTGCAAATGTAAACAATACTGCTGTGCACTCTACTGTATATTACTGTATGTTACACTGTAAATATCATGCAATATAAATATAACTACCTGAAATTCTATTCATTTGAAATTCATTTTGTCTTGGTGTTATACGTGAGAGAAACATATCCATCAAATACCAAAATGCACCACATGAAAGAACAATCTGACTATAGCCCGTAGTTAAATATGAAAATATATTTAGGGAAGCAAATATGTCAGCAACCGTTATGGTGATCAATCCCATTAATCATTTAGTCAATAAAATGTCAGTTCAAAACCCAAATATAATCACTTTACAATGATATAAAGTTAGATAATCCTCACATTTGAAAAATTGGATCCAGTAAAAGTGAACAAAAATGATCTAATCAAACAATTCATTACTTATCAGAATTCCTAATGATGAATTTTCAGTTGACTGTTTGGTTTGTCCATTCTGGGCTACTGTAGAAAGATGGCGGTTCAACATGGTGATCTGATGAAAACACAATGATTCTTATTTCCAGGTGATTATACACTAATGAAAACATACCTGTGAATATTATATCCCATTTCTGCCAATAGATCCTCCTCAATGTTACACACGGCAACATACCTCAATATCTTGTAAAGCGTTAATTAATCCATTCGCTAAAAACTATAAAAAAAATAAGAAAAAGGAAGCCAGAATTCTGCACCTTGACAGATAACAAGTGTAGGCCACACAGAGTTACTTTTAGATTTATTTAATCTTTATTCACCTAGGTTGGGGGGATAGACCTCCCCTGGCATTCCCATGTAAAGAGATGTCAATGACAAACACGTCCAACCAAACGAGAGAGGGTGAATAGGATTCCAGTCCATACATAAAATACATTTATTTACTATTTATTGAACCACCGGCATCCATTAGTCCCACACAGTATCCATCTGTGCTATTAAATATATAGAGATAACATCTGTGGAGGGATTTATTTACTGTATGTGTGTGTGTGTGTGTGTGTGTGAGAGAGGGGGGAGATTGGCAGAGAGGGTAGAGCTTATAGACGAAAAGAGTGTTGGGAGGGGGGGGCAACGTCGAATCATGCCTGCAGTGTCCCCCCTTGTCTACATGATGCCACAGGAGGACAAGGGGTTGGCGATCTGGCAGGTGCAGGCTGACTGGCAGTATTGGCGCACAGTCTGGTAGCAGCTGCGGTCGGCATCCCCGCCCCACTGCACGGGCCCGTTGGGGTCAGAGGGCAAGCGGCTCAGGATGCTGGTGTTGATGGCCAGAGCAGCCAGGCCATAGTCAGTGAACAGCACTGTCTCACGCCGGCACGTGGGGCAGGAGATGAACTTGTACTTGGGACAGGACTCGTAGAGGATCTGCAGGCACTCCTCACACACCGAGTGCAGGCAGGAGAGGATGCGCGGACGCTTGCCGGCAAAGTTGTAGGTGTGACCGCAGGTGGGGCAGTCCAGCGGCTCGCAGGGCATGACGGGTCCCGAGGAGGAGGAGGAAGAAGTGGAGGAGGAGGTGGAGGAGGAGCGCAGCACATACTGGTTTACTATCACGTCTTCCATCTTGTAGTGGAACTGGTGGTAGCAGATCTCGTTGGCACTGGTTTTGCGCTGCGCCAGGAAGCTCTGCTCCCTGCGTGTCACGGGGGCCGCCGGGGACACCATAGGCCGGGGGGACCCTGCAATGTCCAGGGTCAGGTCGCTGCAGGCCTGGTTGACGATGATTTCGCCTTCGCCTCCGCCGTCCCACGCCACTCTTGGGGGCGGGGCATAGCGCGGTTGGGTGACGGGCACAGGGCACTCCCTGGGGAACTTCTCCGACTGGATGATCTTGACGGTGTCCATGGGGATGGTGACGGGCTGACGTCTGAGGCAGGACATTCGCACGTTTGTTGGAGGTGGAAGAGAAAGGGGCTGTGGCTCAGTGCTGGACAACCCTGCACGGTTCTGGGCAAGGGGAAAAAAAGTGGGCTCTGTCTCTGAAGTCAGCCATTCGAGGGGACATGGGGACGGATGGTTGCCTCCATGTTTCCCTCAGAGATCCCCCCTTCTGGTGGGCGCTACTGTCAGCCTGAGTCTTTGTGAGGGGAAGACAGATAGAGGAGCTCAGCCAGAGCACCGCAATCCGAAGCTCTTATTCTGTCACCGCTGATATGTACAGATGATTTAACAGTCCAGCTTACAGTGTTTGACCAGTGTTGACTACTTAAAGGTAGTTTTTGTTGTTTCTAATCAATGATGCTGATGTTCCTGTGCTGTCTCTGATGGCTATTTGCAGAATATTCACACACAAGGACAGTTAGTACTTTAGCACAAAGATATGTTCTCACTCAGTGATAACACCAATAAATAATCTCATATGCACACAGATGCTCACATATATACATACAGTACAGGTTGGTGGATTTCTGCATTCACAGAGTGGGGAAGGGGAGGGGTGGTTTCAGGCAGTTCGAGAGGTATTGTCTTAAACTATATCCTGTGGCCTGCCAAGGAAACTCTTGCCTTCTCAAACTAGCCCTTGCATGTGTTTCTTGCTTAAACACCCGCCTGACTTCCTGTTTTTGGCTGCGGGTGTGTGTTACACGTCAACTTGAGTGTGTGAGAAAGAAAGAATACGTTCCAGTCTTTCTCTCTGCTCTTGGTCCAGTTTGTTCAGGTGACCCTGTGTGACCCTCTAGGTGGCTTGTTGATAAGAAAGAGGGAGGTGTCCTATAATGCTCTGCTGGAATGACTCCTTCAAGCTCCAAGGCTCCTGAATTCCTCAGAGGTGGGAGTGAAGGTTTTATTTCGGACTTTCAGACAGTCCTCCCAGCTGAGCAGAAGATGTGATAACAGTCTGAAGGAAGCCTCTGTGCTTGTCTCCCCCTTTTTCAGTGTCTCAGACTCGTAACGTGTTCCTTTGGTCCAGCTACCTGTGAAAACAGAAAAGAGATTTATAAATATACATGCATTCCCTGCTATGATAAACACATTATGTATAACATTTGGTGAATTAACAGTTGAACAGCAACAGGATAAACAGAACAAGCTCATTTAAAACATTTTGCCATTTTCATTGTGTTTCATAGACAGAATATTGGCTGTGAGATACTAGTTTGACTGTCTCTATAGTGAGAACATTTGAAATTCATCTACTTTAGAAAGGTGATTGATGTGAATGTTTTAAAGTCTGATGTATCCCTATTTGGTTCATTTTCTTTTTATGTATCTGATGACAGAGGCTACAAGGATGGCTCATTCCAGGGAAAAAAATATTGTCCCATTTCCTTCTGCATCTTGGCCACTGCCCAGGTTTGTCTCTTTAAAGAGATAATTATCATGTTGCCACACGCTCTTGGCCACAGCACAGCACGCCATTCTTTTGAATAACCACAATCAGTGAGCTACAAAGTCGGAAGATTATTTTGATATGTGGGGAAATTTGGCATGTGAATTACAAAGGAAGCACATCTGTTGTATGTCTGACGTCTGGTGAGTTTAACTCAGAACACACAAATAATTTGCTTTTTAGGGCAGCAGCGAATGATGATCTTCATTAGATGAATTTAGAATGAGTCTATATCAGATCCCAGAGCTGTTGTCTTTCAACGGCTCATTTAGTCAATTACAGTAACCCAGAGGTATACGCTACAAGTGTTTTTTTATTTAAGGAATTACTAATTAATTGGCGTACTTCTTTCTACGGATACAAGAGATGATCTTATATAGATAGATAGATAGATAGATAGATAGATAGATAGATAGATAGATAGATAGATAGATAGATAGATAGATAGATAGATTTATTTATCCCGAGGGAAATTCAAGTATCCAGTAGCATACAAAATACAAAACATACATTAAACAAACATTAGACTAAAATTAAAATCCCTAACCTTGAGAATAGAATGAAAAATAAAATAGAAGATAAAATATAACGTATTATATATATATATATATATATATATATATATATATATACACTTAGTGTCCACTTTATTACCTGTACAGGTTAATGCAGTCTAATACAACTGTTCTGACACTTTTATGATGTCTATAATGTTTTGTTGAGGCTGTCATATTTTAGCACTGAGGTCACAGTTACTGATGGTGTGATACAGTCATATTAGGTGTTTCTATTTTTCTGTCCCCTCATTGTATGTGAATACGTAGGACAAAAAAATTGCAACACCTCTCTATATATAATGTAGTCCAGTACAACACCACCTTTAACTATGACCTTAGTAATACACGTATAATTGAATTCACACGTTTCTGACGTAACCAAAAGCTGAATGTTATGAGCTTCGTAAAGACAGGCGTTATGGCAGAGCTGTTGTTTTAGACTGAATTCAATTGTACAGGTGTACCTAATAGTGAATAAATAATGTGGTACATGTGTTATGAACTTGCTTTATATATTTGAGCTTTTATCATTTTGCAGATTTTCTATGTATTAGCAGACTGGCTTGTTTGTTATTCAGTTGGTTTACTGGCTAAATTCAATTTAATCCCCGTTGTTACACTTTCACAGAGTCTGTGGAGAGAGTGGTGTGAAAAGCTTATACGCAAAACTTTCACATTTAAAGACTGTTGAAAAGCTTAAAGCTTAGTCATAATAACATCATTTATAGAAGGTCAACTTTCTTGTAAACTGCACAAATTGTGATACTTGTTGTGGTCCTGCTTTTGTCATACTTCCTGCTTTCTTTCAGCATCATCTTGCGAGTTGCGTCAGTTTGACTCGAACATGCGTGGGAACAGGTTACAATCCCCGTTGAGGGTTTGTGTCATACTGTGTGTGGGTTTAAGTGTATGGATGAAAATGTTTAGTTTGACCAGAACAATAGCTGCCAAACAGCAGAAGAGGGAGGATGACACATTAATCATTCTGTGCACGGCTGTCAACAGCGATGATTCATTTGAGGAAAAAAAAAAACTGAGAAGAGGAGGTGACCTACATGGTGAGAAAGAGAGAGTGTGAGAGAAAGAGAGTAGAGGGAGCGCATCGCTGGTTCTGGTTTCTATTTATGGTTTGTTTATCTATGTACCTCTCAGTGGTTTCCTGCCCCCAACCCCTGCTGAAGATTCACACCGAATGAGAGAGGTGTACCTAACAGGAGGAAGTGCCTAACCCCATTATTTTCACGTGATGCAGCGAGCCATATTGGGCAAGCAGGCAGATGTTTTTTCTCTCCACTTTTATCCTTTCTCAATACATTTTCCGACATATTTGTACACTCCTCACTCAAACACAACGAGCTGTTAGCTAAAATCATTCACAAGCTTAGAAACTGTGTTCCTCCAGCACTGCAGTGCTGCGATACTGCTCCCAAAATAGCCTCTGTGTCTATCTCATCCTCCTGCAAACGCAGTGTGCATTCATACACGTTTATCAAGCTGGGTGTTTACAACAAAATATTTTCCTGTTATTTCCATCCGAACACCTTGATAGTGATATGTTTAGGGGGCGATGTTTGGCGCTTTTATAACATATTTAAGCAAGACATTTTTGGGAAACAATCATCATGAATGCGTATGATGTCCTTGTATGTATGATGCAAGAATGTTTTTTTTTTTACAAAATCTTTAAAAGTGTAACAATTAATAGGGTTATTAATTCAGCCTGTATGATCATTAAAAAGCCAACTTTTTTACGGCACTATATACTATATGGAAAATGTAATTGATATTCAACATAATGAACTATCATTTGAGACTAAACTCTTCTCAAACATGTAAAAGTAACCTTCAAGAATTAGCAGCTACTTTTGTTTTTAAGTTCAGATTGTTTGAATCATTCATTTGGACATTATGAAAAACAGTAGACATATTTTTGATCATATTGTCATAATTATGGCCAGATATTAAAATAATATGTCTGTAACACTGTGTATCTAAAAGTACCTCATGCTGGTTAAGCAGATTCTTAATCTGGTTTATTTATTCCAGAACAGATATTTACTGGTTTAAATAATAATAATATTGCCACTTTTTACAATATTTAGGCAAAATTCCGCTTTGTGTATCGAACGCTGAATATTTGAGTTGAGTTTTTACTTATTTTGCTACATAAAAAAGTGTCATGTAGAAAACCAAGATATAAGATATCCAAACTGTTGCTTTAGTACCTGAACTCAGAAATAAAATCTGCATGTTTTGAATGTTACCCTAAATGATACTACAGTGATGTTTTTCCCAGCTCAATACATGGTTATATGAAATTAGAGCTCGACCAATAAATCTGCTAATATTAGCTTATCGCAGATGTATCTGTATTGGTGTTTATATGGGCCAATAGGTAACACGAAATATGTCTGTGGTAATTCGTTAATGGTGTCAGTGTCAGAATACAAACACATTTAAGGCATTTAAAAAAAGTCTCATTACTTTATGTTCATGTAAAATTAACATGGAAACTATCAGCTGATACATCATATCAGTTAGGCTATTGTTAGAAATTCAAATAATCAGCTTCCCTTTTCACAGATATATGTCTAGACACATTTTGTGGATATAAACAGCTTGTGAAAACATGTCCGCCTGGTCGTGGCAGGGGTTGAGTTGATAAAGCATCCAGGCTGCACAAGGAGCCTTTGAGCCTGGGAGAGATGAAGCAGCTAAAATTACCCTCTAATTTGGTGACAGTGCTATGAACAGGGCTGATAACTGATGCAGGCTGCCTGCTGATGGGCCAGCTTTGGCGCAGCCTCTTCCTAATCGACAGAGCCCTCTCCGGTTATGTAAGGAGCTCATCTCCGACCTAGCCACCATATTAACATGGTGCTGCAGCTCTCCCACAGTCTTGACATTGTGTATGTGTGTGTGTGTGTATACATAGCTCTGGATCCCCTCCCTGCAGAGGAATTATTACACTAATGAAATCATGGCAGGCATTTGACCTCGTCATCCCAAGCAAGAGGAGGAAGAAGAGGAGAGCTGACCACAGAGATGTCAGGAGTCTGTCTCAGCAGCAAATTCCTCAAACAATTAAACACACACAGAGCTGCATACACAGTATGAAGTCACACACACATATCCTAGAACATTCTCGCCCTCAGACGACTCCCCGTCACGTACACGGCACCACCCTTTACATACCAGTGGACACACAAACAAACAGATAACAAACAGATACGATCCACTAAAAGGAATATTTTTAAATGTGTATATCATGCTAGATTTATCTCTGACTGATTAAACTGACACAAACACACATCTGACGAGAGAGAAACACACACACAGCTTCAACCGCACGCCTAGAACATTCCTATCCTCTCACACTCCCACTATATTCCTTCATTACACGCACACACACACAGCTTGGGTCCTCATGATCAGACTGGATAGATTCCACCTGTGCTGATCGGAGAGCAGGAGAAGGGCACCATGTTCTGAATGAGTCATAGAGACCCTGCATCAGTCTGTCTCCCTGCCTGTCTCTCTCTCTCTTTTCTCTGAATGGAAATCTGTCTCTAGCTATTCAACCCTCCCTCTATCCACCATCCATCCATCCATCCATCCTTGTCTATATGTGAGCAGTCTGTCGGCCTGGCGAGAGCAGGCGGTGCTGGTCTTTGTGCCTCCACACCACAAACCAGCAGTATGTCAGGTATGCCAGCTATGTTGAGATGTGTATCCACATTCATGCTTTGGCTGGTAAAAAAGACGCGCTGCACCTCTCCTCGGACCTGCGTGGGGTATTATGTTATTGTTTTGATTACGTAACATGTCATGACCTTAGCGTGATCTGAGGACAAATCCTCAGATTTACTGTATGTTTGCTGGCTGCAGCCTCTCTCTGGAAATCATAGCGCTTGCAGGGATTGAGTGAAGAATTTGGAATGATTTTAATACAGGAGGATTTGCTTTTGTGGCATATTTTACCATTTGAAAAGTATATGAAGTGTGGTTTTGCATAAATGCAGATGACAGATGCATCTTGGTCTCTTGCTTGTTTTTATGTCCCTAGTGCAGCCAGAACATATAATTAAATTGAAATGATTTCCTTTTTGTATATTTATTGATTTTAAATGTCAAGCCTTTTCCCAGTGGGCTTCTGTTTACAATCATTTTGGAATGAGGAATCGGTTCATCATTCACAAATAACATACAGTCAGGCTAACGTAATGTAAATACCGAGATTTAAATACATGTGGCTATTTCTCCCAGGATTCAGGTCCAGATATGATGTTTGACTTTAATTCTTATATTTACAGCCAGTCCATCAAGCTGTAATAACACGTAATTATTCCACAAGCTGCTGTACAGTGGAAAAAAGTGCTTAGTGAGGTGTTGTTTTTAATAATTCAGCCCGCTGTCATTCATGGCAGACATCGGCCATTTTGCCTCGCAATTCATTACAGCCAAGTGCTCTTTGTTCTCGTCTATGTAGCTCTCACAGCAACATGGCAGAGCTGCACACTGGCAGAAAAATAAAAGCAATAACCATCATCACTCTGCCTGACACAGACCTCATAGAAGATTTATGAGGGAAAGGTTCAGCAAATGTCCAGCTCTTCAATAACAACAGTGGCTTGATTGATAAAGGTGATTGATTTTCCGTTTCAGCGGGCTGTCTCAGCACGGGGGTTAAGGTGGATGGCATTGTTGATGTCGTGTGAGCTGAGACTCAGGAGGGACCGCGAGATAGAGGCGAGGTGGCCAAAATATTTTGGACCGTGTGAGATGGAGCAGCTTTAGCATGTGGGAGGGGCGTGTGCTCAGGAGCAGCAGTTATGCAATCGCAGCATGGTGTACCCAGCACTCTGACTGCAGCGCCAATGTATGGCCAATATGGAGATGCCTTAGTGCTGCTGACAGCTACAGAACAGGCCGTTCCTGCCCTGTCCCTATCACACCCCCCCCTCGCCTTCCTTCCTGCCCCCACTGTCTGTCTGTGCAGAGGTCTGTGAAATGTCATAACCGCTGGAGACATGACACCCTGAAGATACCATCAACACCCAAAACTCACACATTAACGTTGTCTTATTCACAGTTTCTCATCATCATTTCTGGTCAGTGCAGATAAGCAGGTGTGCAGGTGTGTTTTGGTGCATGTGTTTGTGTCTCCATTCATGCATCCTGTGTGTGTGTGTGTGTGTGTGTGTGTGTGTGTGTGTGTGTGTCTCCAAAATGGATGGCCATGATGCAACAACCATGTAAATCCCAGCTTAACGTAACAAAGCAAAAAGGCAAAGACCTCCTCTATCTATTTGATTCCCGCACAAAGAGAGATACAATGAAAGGAACGTTAGTATGAAACCCCACATGAGGCAGCCCCACCTCACAGATCTGAAACATACAGGTACAAACTATAAAAATGAACACACAGAAAAACCTCAGTATCTCCTGAAACACATGCAACGCCTTTTCTCATGCTCACCTGTCTGCCTACGCACTTCTCTTGTTTCAGTCCTTTCTCGCCTTCTCTCTCCTGTTCCAGTTGTTGCTGTCGACGTTGTTGATGCTGTTCTGTGAAGATAATACCGAGTCGCTCAGTCTCTTTGTTCAGTGGATGTCTCACCAGAGGGAGGATGCTCTCTCCTGTCCATTTGACTCTAGCAGGACGAACAACAAGCAGCAACGAAGGAAGGAAAACATGGAGGAGATGTAAGATGGAGGAAGCTGTTGCAAGGTGGATGCGTCATGTCTCGGGCTGCTTTTTCGTCGAGCTCCGCATCCCTCGCTCCTCTTCTCCTCTCCTCTCTGTTACCTTTGTCTTTCACTCTCCCACCCTTGCTCCTTCTCCTCCGAGCTGTGGCTGAGTGTCGCCCTCTGGTCTCTCTTTCTCCATCCTTCTTCCCAAGCCTCTCAAATTATTCAGCTTATTTTGTGCAGCGACCTGAGCTTCTTTGCTGTGTTTCTCTGCGTGTAGGTTCCCCTTCTCTTCCTTCCTTCCTTTCGTCTAGTCTTCAGGTTAAACCTCTCTTCTCCTTCGTTTCCCTCTCCTCTGCTGTTATCTCTCCTCTCGTCTCAGCTGCCGTTCATTACTCCTCTTTCTCCTTCTCCGTCTGTTCCAGTCAGTGCGCCTCACAGTCACACATGCGCAGTGTTTTCACACATACATGCACACTCACACTCTTTCCCTCTCTGTCTCTGTGCCTCTGGCTCCCTTCTTATGCATGTGGCTTATTTTTCATGCCCACCCCCCTATCTCTCTTTCGCTCTCTCTCTCTCTCGCGCTCTCTCTCTCTTTCATACACACACACACTCTCTCTTTCTCTCTCGTTGCTCTCTCCCGCTGCAGCACACACTGCAGTGCCTCTGCAGGCAGGATCACGTTTTCTAGTTGCCAGATAAAAATATTTCAGCCAATGAGGAACAATGTTAGCCACCCTCCCCACCCCCCTCCCCGTCTAAACACACATATGCATGCACACACATAAACACAGATGTACATTTATACACAAACGTGCACACAGTCATCTGAGATATGAAGGCTTTGCACCGAGAGCCATGAATCATATATTACACACCAGCCAGGCACACAGGAAATACAGGAAGCTGGTTCAAATAGATCTAATCTAAGCAGTACAGGAGATCTGAGAAGGCAAAACAAAGCATAAATTCACTCACAAATTAACTTTTTATCAGGCTGCTGACTGGAGGCTTCAGAAAAACAGATCCATCATAATCAACACTGACCACATGTATCTCATTCATGTTTGCAGACATGTTTTTTCCTACAAGCAGAACCTCAAAGCAAAAATGTGAAAAACATAGCAGAGAGGTGTCATTTGTGTTAATTCCTTCTTGAGACTTTGAATCCCCCCTACCCCCCAAAAAAGTTTTTTTTTAAATTCACTTAGAAACTTGAAGGCAGCATCCTAAGCTCCCACCCCAGATCTAGACATGCAGTGATGTTGCATAACGAGGATTTTAATAAGTTTTGTATCTGCTCAAGCCTTCATGCTGACCAATAAATAAGCCTCAGATCAAAGTGGGGGAAAAAAACACGATGCGATTTTTCAATCCATGTTAGAGGGTTATGCTTGTATAATATGGGCATCAAATACATAATGTAGCGAGAGGAAATGGAGCAATAACTCACAGGGAATAACAGAACACCAAATAATCCCGTTTGAAGGAGTTTTTGCAATGAGTACCGTATAAACTTGCTCTTCTGTAGTTCTCAGAAGTTTGAGGAAGATTCTCAGTATCTGCTGAACACACATTGATGCAATGCAAGTTCCTCAAACTGGTTATTTGGAATGCTGTTATCTGTTATACTCTGGTATCTCTTGTTCCTTTTAACCAGCAGCCTTTTTCAGAGCAACTGTATGTGAACGTTATTGCTTTTCCAGAAACAAGTACTATGAGAGATGGAGACAACACCTTACTTTAAGTCCCCTTTAGCCTTAATAAACAGTATAAACATTTAATAAAATGTTTATTGCACACTATAATGCAGTTGTAAGCAGATAATTGTTTTCTGATGTATTTGCCAATAACTAGCTATAACTCCTCCATAAGTGGATGCCTGTGTATAAACAGACAGGCCTATGGAATGACAATATACATTAGTATAATACTAACAATATCAGACGTCTTCATAAGAGATGTTATTGTTGACAAATACTGCACATCAATATTAACATGTCCTTTTAGCTGCCTATAACTAAATTATGTTAGTGTGTTATAAACTGTAAACCATTAATTATAATACATGTTTGTATTATTATTATTGCTAAATATGGAAAGTAAAGTGTTACAAGGAGTCAAATTTAAAATTCAGTAACTAAACTAATCTCTCAGTAATGCTCTGTTACATTTTGAGGATATATTCAGTTTACCAGGAGTTCGATGGAGGGTTGGTAGTTTCATGGATAGACTGGACTGTATTAGCTTGGCACCAGGGGCTGAAGTGTGAGGAGGCAGCTAGCTTCTGCAAAAGAGGAGAAACATACACACTTAAAAAGTCCATTTGTTTACGCTAGTTGGTTAGTAAAAACCTCCAACTGTAATGTTAGACTAGCTGTTCAGTAAAAAAAATCCAACTGTAATATTAAGCTAGCTGTTCAGTAAAAACCTCCAACTGTAATATTAAGCTAGCTGTTCAGTAAAAGCCTCCAACTGTAATATTAGACTAGCTGTTCAGTAAATGCCTCCAACGGGTATATTAGACTAGCTGTTCAGTAAAAAAAATCCAACTGTAATATTAAGCTAGCTGCTCCGTAAAAAAAAACAGACTGTAATATCAAACTAGCTGTTCAGCAAAAAAAAATCAAACTGTAATATTAAGCTAGCTGCTCCGTAAAAAAAAACAAACTGTAATATCAAACTAGCTGTTCAGTAAAAAAAAATCCAACTGTAATATTAAGCTAGCTGTTCAGTAAAAACCTCCAACTGTAATATTAGACTAGCTGTTCAGTAAATGCCTCCAACGGTAATATTAGACTAGCTGTTCAGTAAAAAAAAAAAACAACAACTGTAATATTAAGCTAGCTGTTCAGTAAAAGCCTCCAACGGTAATATTAAGCTAGCTGTTCAGTAAAAGCCTCCAACTGTAATATTAGACTAGCTGTTCAGTAAATGCCTCCAATGGGTATATTAGACTAGCTGTTCAGTAAAAGCCTCCAACTGTAATATTAAACTAGCTGTTCAGTAAAAGCCTCCAATGGTAATATTAGACTAGCTGTTCAGTAAACAAAAAAAAACTAAAATCCAACTGTAATATTAAGCTAGCTGTTCAGTAAAAGCCTCCAACGGTAATATTAAGCTAGCTGTTCAGTAAAAGCCTCCAATGGTAATATTAGACTAGCTGTTCAGTAAAAAAAACTAAAATCCAACTGTAATATTAAGCTAGCTGTTCAGTAAAAGCCTCCAACGGTAGTATTAGACTAGCTGTTCAGTAAAAAAAAACTAAAATCCAACTGTAATATTAAGCTAGCTGTTCAGTAAAAACCTCCAACTGTAATATTAGACTAGCTGTTCAGTAAATGCCTCCAACAGTAATATTAGACTAGCTGTTAAGTAAAAAAAAAAAATAACAACTGTAATATTAAGCTAGCTGTTCAGTAAAAGCCTCCAACGGTAATATTAAGCTAGCTGTTCAGTAAAAGCCTCCAACTGTAATATTAGACTAGCTGTTCAGTAAATGCCTCCAACGGGTATATTAGACTAGCTGTTCAGTAAAAGCCTCCAACTGTAATATTAAACTAGCTGTTCAGTAAAAGCCTCCAATGGTAATATTAGACTAGCTGTTCAGTAAAAAAAAACTAAAATCCAACTGTAATATTAAGCTAGCTGTTCAGTAAAAGCCTCCAACTGTAATATTAAACTAGCTGTTCAGTAAAAGCCTCCAACGGTAATATTAAGCTAGCTGTTCAGTAAAAGCCTCCAATGGTAATATTAGACTAGCTGTTCAGTAAAAAAAACTAAAATCCAACTGTAATATTAAGCTAGCTGTTCAGTAAAAGCCTCCAACGGTAGTATTAGACTAGCTGTTCAGTACTAAAAAAAAACTAAAATCCAACTGTAATATTAAGCTAGCTGTTCAGTAAAAAAAAACTAAAATCCAACTGTAATATTAAGCTAGCTGTTCAGTAAAAGCCTCCAACGGTAATATTAGACTAGCTGTTCAGTAAAAGCCTCCAACGGTAATATTAGACTAGCTGTTCAGTAAAAAAAACTAAAATCCAACTGTAATATTAAGCTAGCTGTTCAGTAAAAGCCTCCAACGGTAGTATTAGACTAGCTGTTCAGTAAAAAAAAACTAAAATCCAACTGTAATATTAAGCTAGCTGCTCCGTAAAAAAAACAAACTGTAATATCAAACTAGCTGTTCAGTAAAAAAAAATCCAACTGTAATATTAAGCTAGCTGTTCAGTAAAAACCTCCAACTGTAATATTAGACTAGCTGTTCAGTAAATGCCTCCAACTGTAATATTAGACTAGCTGTTCAGTAAAAAAAAACAACAACAACTGTAATATTAAGCTAGCTGTTCAGTAAAAGCCTCCAACGGTAATATTAAGCTAGCTGTTCAGTAAAAGCCTCCAACTGTAATATTAGACTAGCTGTTCAGTAAATGCCTCCAACGGGTATATTAGACTAGCTGTTCAGTAAAAGCCTCCAACTGTAATATTAAACTAGCTGTTCAGTAAAAGCCTCCAATGGTAATATTAGACTAGCTGTTCAGTAAAAAAAAACTAAAATCCAACTGTAATATTAAGCTAGCTGTTCAGTAAAAGCCTCCAACTGTAATATTAAACTAGCTGTTCAGTAAAAGCCTCCAACGGTAATATTAAGCTAGCTGTTCAGTAAAAGCCTCCAATGGTAATATTAGACTAGCTGTTCAGTAAAAAAAACTAAAATCCAACTGTAATATTAAGCTAGCTGTTCAGTAAAAGCCTCCAACGGTAGTATTAGACTAGCTGTTCAGTAAAAAAAAACTAAAATCCAACTGTAATATTAAGCTAGCTGTTCAGTAAAAAAAAACTAAAATCCAACTGTAATATTAAGCTAGCTGTTCAGTAAAAGCCTCCAACGGTAATATTAGACTAGCTGTTCAGTAAAAAAACTAAAATCCAACTGTAATATTAAGCTAGCTGTTCAGTAAAAGCCTCAACGGTAATATTAGACTAGCTGTTCAGTAAAAGCCTCCAACGGTAATATTAGACTAGCTGTTCAGTAAAAAAAACTAAAATCCAACTGTAATATTAAGCTAGCTGTTCAGTAAAAGCCTCCAACGGTAGTATTAGACTAGCTGTTCAGTAAAAAAACTAAAATCCAACTGTAATATTAAGCTAGCTGTTCAGTAAAAAAACTAAAATCCAACTGTAATATTAAGCTAGCTGTTCAGTAAAAGCCTCCAACGGTAATATTAGACTAGCTGTTCAGTAAAAAAAACTAAAATCCAACTGTAATATTAAACTAGCTGTTCAGTAAAGCCTCCAACTGTAATATTAACTAGCTGTTCAGTAAAGCCTCCACTGTAATATTAAGCCAACTGTTCGTAAAAATCTCCAACTGTAATATTAAGCTAGCTGTTCAGTAAAAGCCTCCAACTGTAATATTAAGCTAGCTGTTCAGTAAAAGCCTCCAACGGTAATATTAGACTAGCTGTTCAGTAAAAAAACTAAAATCCAACTGTAATATTAAGCTGCTGTTCGTAAAGCCTCCAACTGTAATATTAAACTGCTGCGTAAAACTCAATGTATATTAACTAGCTGTTCGTAAATGCCTCCACGTATATTACTAGCGTAAAAATCCACTGATATAAGCTGCCTCCGTAAAAAAACTTAATACACTCGGTAAAAAATCACTGATATGTGCTCCGAAAACAAACTTATACAACTAGCTGTCGTAAAAAATCCAACTGTAATATAAGCTAGCTGTTGTAAAACCTCCAACTGTAATATTAGACTAGCTGTTCAGATGCCCCAAATGACTAGCTGGTAAAAAAAACAACTGTAATATTAAGCTAGCTGTTTAAGCCTCACGTAATAACATTAAAGCCTCCACTGTATATTAAACTAGCTGTTCAGTAAAGCCTCCAATGGTAATATTAGACTAGCTGTTCAGTAAAAGAACTAATATAACTCCAACTGTAATATTAAGCTAGCTGTTCAGTAAAAGCCTCCAACGGTAATATTAAGCTAGCTGTTCAGTAAAAGCCTCCAACGGTAATATTAGACTAGCTGTTCAGTAAAAAAAACTAAAATCCAACTGTAATATTAAGCTAGCTGTTCAGTAAAAGCCTCCAACGGTAGTATTAGACTAGCTGTTCAGTAAAAAAAAACTAAAATCCAACTGTAATATTAAGCTAGCTGTTCAGTAAAAAAAACTAAAATCCAACTGTAATATTAAACTAGCTGTTCAGTAAAAGCCTCCAACGGTAATATTAGACTAGCTGTTCAGTAAAAAAAAACTAAAATCCAACTGTAATATTAAACTAGCTGTTCAGTAAAAGCCTCCAACTGTAATATTAAACTAGCTGTTCAGTAAAAGCCTCCAACTGTAATATTAAGCCAACTGTTCAGTAAAAATCTCCAACTGTAATATAAAGCTAGCTGTTCAGTAAAAGCCTCCAACTGTAATATTAGACTAGCTGTTCAGTAAAAGCCTCCAACTGTAATATTAAGTTAGCTGTTCAGTAGAAGCCTCCAACGCTAATATTAGACTAGCTGTTCAGTAAAAAAAAAACTAAAATCCAACTGTAATATTAAGCTAGCTGTTCAGTAAAAGCCTCCAACGGTAATATTAGACTAGCTGTTCAGTAAAAGCCTCCAATGGTAATATTAGACTAGCTGTTCAGTAAAAAAAACTAAAATCCAACTGTAATATTAAGCTAGCTGTTCAGTAAAAGCCTCCAACTGTAATATTAAACTAGCTGTTCAGTAAAAGCCTCCAATGGTAATATTAGACTAGCTGTTCAGTAAAAAAAACTAAAATCCAACTGTAATATTAAGCTAGCTGTTCAGTAAAAACCTCCAACTGTAATATTAAGCTAGCTGTTCAGTAAAAAAACCTAAAATCCAACTGTAATATTAAACTAGCTGTTCAGTAAAAGCCTCCAACTGTAATATTAAACTAGCTGTTCAGTAAAAGCCTCCAACTGTAATATTAAACTAGCTGTTCAGTAAAGAAATCCAACAGTAATATTAAGCTAGCTGTTTATTAAACCACAGTGTCTTGTTCTCTATTCCCATGTGTGAAATGCAAAAGAGGAAACTGTTTTGGAGGCTTTGGCGTTGCTTAAAAGTTGTTTAACAAATAATATAATAATAACTGAAGTAACGAGCAAATGACTCTGCTGTTGAGTAATTATTAAAATAATTAAATTAACTTTGTAACTGTGTAATATGAGTAATTGTTTACATTTTCTTGTTCAACACTGCTAATGACAAAATAAACATCAACCAAATGGTCATTAAGTCAGCTAATTTATTCAGAACTGGGTCTTGTTTGATCAGATTTGATAGACCTGGACGGTGATTAACAAACAACTGTCATCAGACTTAAAGTTTAATTCTGATTGGCGCATGGAAATACACATCATAAGTCCCACCAACATCAAACAAGTCAGACGAACACAGACAAAAACACAAACACAGGAAATAAATGTAGCTATATATATATATATATTATATATAGCTACATTCTTTAGAATAAGAAACTGATTAAATTTCATTTTCAGGGACATTATTCCTTCTTGAAGAAACAATAAATTAAAGGAATCTTAGAAAGCCATTATTGTACCACCAAACTTATTGCCATGTCTGAGATTTACCATTTACATGGCTTATATTACAAATTAAATTAAAATTAAGTGTAATACATTTTTTAAGCAATAAAGTTCTACAAATATGAGTAACTTATTGAAACTACTTAAGTACATCTAGTGGAGATGTAGGAGATATGAAAAGCACTTGCAGGAAGGCTAATTGTTAGAACAGAGTGTTATTATTAACTATTTGCAAATGTCAGTGGACCAAAACATTACAAACACGTGTGTGTGTGTGTGTGTGTGTGTGTGTGTGTGTGTGTGTGTGTGTGTGTGTGTGTGTGTGTGTGTGGGAGGTTTATGTGAACTCAGTGGACCATAAACTAAGGTTGGAAGTCAAGGTCTTTAGAGGTATTTTCTTCTTTAAGAATTTTCTTATTGCAGTTTTAAGAGGTCAAGTGCCGTTCAGAGGTAGCTACAAGGTACTGAAGACCTATATAATTGTGGCTGCAGGAACAATGATTTCTACATTACCTGTTTCAGTAAACCAGTTCCAAGGCTGAAAAAGATGATTAATCATATTTAGTCAATAAAGGAATACTGGTTATATTTAGGTATACTTTGTAGTTATATATATTATATATATGTATAATAACGTTGGGATTAGAGTGGCTTTTGCAGAAAATACACTGTAGTTGACCAAAATATGCAATATTATAGCTGAATTAATTTGTAATGTACAATTTATTTTGTAGCTTATATGTCACAGTTACATATCTGCTATAAATACCTCATCTGTTTATTGTTCATTCTGAATATTAGAGTATTTTGATGTATAGGAGTATCAAAACATACACTGTAGCCGGAAGTGATCTCAAGTTTCTTTGCACGATTGCAGTAAATACAGTGTCTGGTACCTGAGGTGTGATCACAACTTATTGCTGTCTAAAAGCTTTCTACAATAGATTAGTTTAAGCCATTTGAAGTTTGTCTTGCAGTGATCAGCATGGAGTAATGTAGTATCTTGTCCTATGTAATGAGGCTCTTGTGCCACTAGGAGGCCACAGTGTTTTAGTTATCTTATCTTGTGATATTGCTTTTTATGATTAAATGTTGCTTGTGGTATAACCCTGATTGTAATGTATCATGCACCTGTACAATTTCATGAAATCTAACATGATTGTCATGATTCATGTTTGATGGGACCACATATGAGAAATTAAGTGGTAATTGTTGGGATCACACATAGTTTGTAGAGTCTGTATCTTTCTAATCATTGGGGTATAAATATTGCACTGTGATGGGTGTTTAGGCTGATATAACCTTTACATAGTTATTTGATCATTTATCTGTGAGATAATCAAATGACCCTATAATTATAAGACTTAGTTCAAGGGAGGACAGGACAACAAATACTAAACAAACTACTTCATACTCTAATGTTATTATGCATCTTTTTTTAACTCTTATTTCCAATTTCAAAAGGACCTTCTGCTAACACACTTGTGTTGAAATGTTACATGTTGAAAATCACCACCTCAAATGGCTACTGTGTGGGCCCCATGGAGTGAGACATCTCAACCACTTTCTCAGACTGGTAGTAGTATACATACTCCACAGTTAACAGAGTAACTTAGCAAGCAGAATGGGTTAACAAAGCTGGAAAGAACATACATATACAAGAAAAAGACATACAAAAGGATTTCTTCATCAGTGCTTTCATTTCATTCAGGCTTTTCTTCTTCAGACAGTGGCTAACTGGCATAATCCTCTGCATGCAAAATGTCTCTTCCTTCCATTACTCATCGCTGTGGGTAAAAGTGTCTGCCAGATGGCTATTTGGTACTAGCACTAAAAACGAAAATGTCTCTTATGACTGTTAAGAGCGAGACAAGCCTCCATGTTGACCTTTGACTGCTACACTTAGTCACCACACGGCCCAGCAGAATCATATCACGTATGATTCAAACAGATATAAAGTAATATGTAACTTCTGGAGAATTAGGCAGGCATAAGACATAAAACTGCAGAGAGCATAGCATGCAGGTCCAAGGCAGAAATCATAAATCATTCAACAGCGGTGCACATATTCAAGGCCTACATTAGTGCTAAGTGTACATTAACCACAGAGTTGGTGATAAGAGTGAGATAATATGTGTCATAATGCGATCGACTCTTTTGCGGTGAATTAAAAAGTGATCGTGTGTTTGCCCTTCAGCATTTATTTACTAAGTACATAAAAGATATAATTTACCCAGAAATTCAATGTGCAAAAAAATAAAGAACAAAGTAGTATCTTACATATTTAGCTGGAACGATAAGTGAACCACCAGAAGGAAGTAAAGAGAGTCAGACAGTGCTCTGTGTAATTCACAACCATTGTTCCCTGAGAAGTTTTTATTCATTAACGCCTAAAACAACAGTAAGGTGCATTGATTTTAAAAAGTGACAGCACTCATGGACATTGAGCCCACATAATGAGAAAAACAAGGTTTAGAATGAGGTAGAAAAACAGTCATTACCAGGAATTTGAACGTCTTCTATCTCAGAAAACCCTGATCTGTCATACATTACAGGTAAGTTGCTGGCATTTTGTTTATCATGTGATCACTAATTTTTCATGATTTAAAGCAGTGTCCTAAGTTAAAACAAAAGAATCACTTTCACTTACATGTGAACTAGAAAGACCACAAGATAATAACGAAACATTTATATTTCCAGTGTTGAGTGAGAATATGTGATTGAATTGAACAGGAATAGACATCATTTAGATCAAATTCTACACACACTGATGCTGAAAGAGTTCTGATTATTTTATCAAGTTAACATGAACAAGAACTCGTGGCTGCTATCACAAATTAAATAATACATTTCCGCCACTACGATCAGCAGGCGTGCGCTCTTTTCAGGTGAACCGTGAGTCACTCTGCATCTCCATTTATAAGCTGTCCTAATTTACACAGCCACTCTTGCCCTCTTTCATTATACCTACAATGACAAAAGCAACGGTAAAGACAAGGAAGTAAACTCATAGTTAAATTTGGAAGACCTACGACTGTGCAGAGGGTCGAGACAATGTGCAGAAAATACATGTGCACAATATTAACGTGTTTTAAGTGTAATATGTGTTAATATATTACAGTGTGGTTTACTTCAGCTGCAAAATGGCAAAGATTACAGTATATACCTTGAAGACTTTTACACTAGACCTGTATACAGTATTGAAATATTTTAGTAGAGTTTTAAATAGGCACATACTTTACAAAAAAATATTTATATACTGGAGAAGTACACGGTACAGTATGTATAGTAATTACGACACAGTAGAGTAAGGCCTGCAAGTGAGTTATCTTATTTCAGAGAGTTGTGGGCAACAGCTCATCCGGTCATAAAGTACATTCATATATCCTGTCACTTAAATATAGATTCCAGTATCCGAGAGCAATTGGGGTCAGTCGAGTTTCTTTAAGCGAAAAAACCGTGACAGAAAACAGCCACACATAGGAGGATGATGGCGTTGCCATTGACAACGTTTCTCCATAGAGGCACCTCTGTGGTGTCTGTGAGCTTCTTCTGCATCTCTGCCTGCTCTTCTGCGCTCAGCTCGGGGGCTTTTTCCTGCTCCAGGCCGCAGAAGCACATCAGTGCCTTCTTGCAGAAGCCTGGCTCCTCCTCTGATTCTGTGACATAATAGAAAAAAGGCAATGAAGAAAATCTGCTTGTGTGTGTTTGTGTGTGTGTGTGTGTGTGTGTGTGTGTGTGTGTGTATAGACTTGTGAATGCATCTACACTGTATGTCTGCTGATTACCATCTATGTCCATAGTGTTGGAATCTGTTTGGTTATCAATCCAATCATCCTGTTCAAGGTCCACCCTCTCCTCCGTACAGTTCCTCAGGCTCCAACACAGTCGATACAACTAGACAAACAACACAACACATGGTTTGAAACTAATTATTTATGACGGTAGTTATTCCAATGTCTTCCAGTGAATGGTCATGTTTGTGAAATTAATGATTTATCCATTCTCATCTCAAGGCGGTCACGTACATGCTTGTCGTCGATAGGTTTGGTCATGAGAGAGATAGATAGGATGAGGACACAGGAGACAACAAATAAGATGATGGAGAAGTAGAGGTAATGGACTCCACATATGATGGTGGGGCAGTCACTGGGGTTAACACAGCTGCCTGTACCATAAGCGAACTCAGCAATCATCCTGGACAGGCCGATACCCAGGCCAATTGTGAGGCCATAAAATGCACCCTGACAAAGGAAAAAAGTAGGAAAAATTGTTAGTTTAGACTGTTACATTTGTATTAACAAGAGTCTGTGAGTCTGTGACGCTGTACATTGGTAGAGAATTTTTAGCAAGTGCAATGTTTACTATGTTCACCATCTTAATTTAGGTGTATTAACATGCTTACATTTGCAAATTAGCACAAAACACATAGTACACACAAGTACATCTAAGGCTGATGGGAATTGTTTAGTTAGTGTTAAGGTATATGGTCATAAACGTAACACAAAGTATTGGACAAAATCAAATGACCTGTGGATAGCACTAAATGAAAAGTTAAGGTATGAAAAAAAATCATGACAATCCATCCAATAGTTGTGGAGATATTTCACTCAAAACCACAAATGTCAGCCTGCTGGTGGCACTAGAGGAAAAGTCAGAGGATCACCAAAATTGGTAGGCTTCTCCCTCTGGGAAACATGAATGTCTCTGAAAAGGTTTGTGGCAATCTATCAAGTAGTTGTTGAGATATTTCAGTCTGAACCAGTGAAGTCAAGTGAAAGACCGTCCCACCAAACCAACATTAACATTCCTAAAGTCAAGCCACTAGTATCCATTCTTCTGGCAAGAAGGTTGTAATTAATACTCCTCTCTTGAGGATGCATAGCTATATAAACCCAAACAGCATGCAATAGATTCTGTTGGGCCACAGAACCACCACAGGAATATATGGACACTTACAAGACATTAAATATACATATAGCAGATTACGAGGCAAGTCATCGCAAATATGATTCACGAGAAAACAGGGCAGAAAGAATCTGAAGAGATGAGGCAGTAATAGCAGCAGCATGAGTGTGTGTCAGGTTAAAACCTCCTCACTGACTTGTCTGAATGTGACTGGTAATCGTATGAATGTGCTGCTAACTAACACTGATCAGCTGATGGTGTGCCTGACTTCTTTGTTTTTGGCCTATGCTAATGAGAGAGACGATCATGAGAGCAAGAATCACATCAGCAGGGGTCCATGTCCACACCACATGAGGTCACATAACACATGTTCATGTTATTCAACTGCTTTATGGTCAGGCGACACCCAATTACACAAGTAGTCGGAGGAGGCAGTAAAAAGAAAGATCTTCTCAAAGACCCCTGGGCAGTAATTACTTAAGATGTTTATAATGGACTGCATTTGACCACACACAAAAGTTAATTTCACTGTTTTCATCCATGGCTTTAGTGATGGCAATGTCTGTCACTATATACCACTTTGAATCCAGATGATTTAAGTGCCCATCAGGATGGATTATAATCAGTCTGGAGACCCCTGGACTTTTCAGCTAGTGCCATCATCATGTCAAATTTAAATTTGTCCAGTACTTTGATTCCCATCAGCCTCAGCTGTACTTGCTTTGTACAAATTGCTAGAACGATAGCATGCTAAACTGAGATGGTTTACACAGTAAACATTGTACCTGCTTCACATCAGCCTGTTAGCATTGTCACTGGTTGTCATTGTTTATATCGAACAGGCAGTAGATTGCACTTAAACCTGAAACGTGTAAATAAGGAGATGATTGAAGTGGAAACTCACAGGCTCATTGACACGTTTGCAGAAGATGGCAAGCATAAAGACAGCTGCAATGGGTGGTGTGAGGTAGCTGGTGATGGACTGGATGTAGTCGAAGAGCTGACCACTCTGGGCTGATTGCACCACAGGGATCCATGCTATACTCACACCAATCAGGCCCAAGATAAACACTCTATACACAGTGAAACACACACATGTGAAAATAGTGGCAGTTAGGCACATGTGACTTCTCATCATCAGAAACCATATGAAACTGAACCTGTATTTACCTGCCAGCAATCATGAGTTCCTTCTCTCTGGCTGAGCGGCGAATCTTGGTGTAGATGTCCATTGTGAAGAGAGTACTGGCACTGTTGAAGATGGAGGTAAGTGAGCTCATCAGAGAGGCCAGCATCACTGACAGCATAAGACCTCGCAGACCTGAAATAGGTTGAATATAAAATTGAAATGGGGGAAATAACTTGGACAAAAAAGCTGCTGCTTGGGTTCTCAGCTCATAAGACAAAGGGCTTTAGCAACCTACCATTGGGCATGAGATCCACCACCAGTTTGGGATAAGCAATGTTGGTGCAGCCCACACTGGCACCGCAGTATTTTTGACATTCAGCCGGTTCCACGCATGCCACTACATCTAGAATAAATCAAATCAGGAAATGTTTAAATCCACCATTATGTCTGTGGTAAGATGTGCATGAGCAACTATAGTGCTTTCAGTCAGTGAGCTTGCTTCAGCCTGCGGCAGTCACATTATAAACTTTAGAAACCACAACACACTCACCAGCATAGAGGATCCTGCTGATCATCCCTGGGAAAACCATGAGGAACATGGGCAGCAGCTTCAGGTAGCCACATAGGATACAGCCTGCCTTAACATGAGATAAATTCTTGGCTGAGAGGCAACGCTGGACAATCACCTACAGAAAAACATGTGACAGATGGGAAAAGATCAGTAGGGCTATAATACAATCAAAAGTAAATGGGATATTAATGGATGGAAAAATGGTTTTAATGGACTCTTAACTATTCTCTCTATTTTAGATTAAAACATTTTGCAGAGTAAATACAACACTTAGGCCAAAGAAGCCAATTGGAAAAAGCCTGCTGGTAAGTATTCTCTTCTGTTAGCTGAACAGAGTTTAAGTAGGTGGGCCATAATGTGTTTATGTGTGTGCTGGATGTCAACATTTGAATTAGCATCTGATTTTTCATTTAGATGCAGCATTACTCAGGCTGTTAATCTTATCTTAGTCTCCAGGAGTGCATTAGGGTCTAACTAAAAGCATGCCTGTCCTCTTACAGCAAGTCACCTCAGACCGCTTGAGCGAGTCTGGCGAAAACAGGCAAGATAAAGATGCATAAATGTGTGTACAATGTGTGGGAATCAATTCTGTATATGTGTGTTGATGGCCATGGTTTGTTCAGTCAGCACAAGTAAAGTATCCCCACAATCACAGTGGTCACGCCTCCAACAGCACTGCCTATTGGCTTGACTGACCTGATCAGTGCACCAGTACCAGGTGGCCTGAATGGTGAGTCCAAACACAAGGCCAGGCCACGGCAGGTCTCCTGTAATTGCATTCCTAAAAATATGGAAGGAGTCTGCCCGAGGCTCGTAGCACTCTGCGCTGATGTTAGCCGTGATCGAAGGGACAGCCTCCATGTAGCGCTGCTGGAAGCTTTCATAGCCTCCCACCTCATGGAAAGCTGAGAACATGGGCGCAGGTTGAACTAACTAACAGTCATTTTATCTCTTTAACAATTTCCTGTCACAAACAGGATTAGTCTTGTCATAACAATTTAGCAAACAATAAAAAAGGAGTAGCTTATTACCAAAGCCCATAAGGATGAATGATCCAACAACCATGATGATGGTCTGTAAGGTGTCTGTGTAGATCACTGCAGCCAAGCCACCTGAGATACAGTACGTGACGTTACACATTTTTCATTCAAAGTCAACACATTTTATTGCCACTAATGTACATAATATAACTTGATGGAGAGAATAAAAACAAATCAACTTTGTTAGATGTGGATGTTTTATTATAAAACAGCAGCAGATGGGAACTTCCTGCTTATCGCTTTCCATGGGTGATTAACCACAATAACACACCACAGACAAACTAGCCAGGAAAAGAGTATGTGTTTGTGTCTACATGTGGCCTTGAGAAGACTTTACCCCCATTCACATTATACAGAAGATAAGACTTCTGGCTTTAGCTTGTGAGTGATCTATTCAGTGGGAAAGGAAGTGAGTGCATCCTGAGTGGACAGACCTGTGACGGTGTACAGCGCAGTAATCATAAGTAGCATGATGACAGCGAGGTAAATATTCAACCCAAGAGCCTGGTTGATGAAAATGGCACCAGAGAACATGTCTGCCTGAGTGGACAGGAGATGAGAAATTATTTCAGTTTCGGAGAATACAGGTACAATGTTGAAAGTGGAGAGAGGGTCACTGAGAGGTAAGTTGTGGTGTCACTGTGACTTACTGAGATCTTGGTGAAAACATAAAGGAAGAGGGACAACACAGAGAGATAGATGCGGATACGCTGTCCTCCAAATCTCTTTTTCAGGTACTCAGGCATGGTCACCACCTAAACACATCCACAGTATATGAGATTTTAATTTGTTCCTGTTTTCTTTATTGCCTTTAATTAATAGGGATATCTTCTGACAGCTGAAGATGGACAGGAAAGGGGGGAGAGGGGGGTGACACACAGCACAGGACCACAGGTTGGAGTCGAACCTATAGCTGCTGCAGCAAGGGCCTTGCAAGGGGTGCCAGCTCCACCATGTGAGCTATCAGGATGCCCCTTTTTGTGCCAGTTTAACTTACTTTTCCCCTCTAATCTTGCTGTTTTTATGACCTCCCACTCCTATTTTAGCAGGGAAATAAATCATGCATGGGAACAAATAAGATATATTTTAATTACTCAATAAACTGTAAATTAGGAGATATGTTTACAGTGGTTATGAAGGCATATTTGGATAGGTGACATGAATATGTGCGTGTGTTTTGTACATCCAACTTGTGGCCTGTGTGTTCTATTTACCCCAGCTTTGATGTAGATGGGCACAAATAGCCATCCCAGAATGACGACCACTATGAGAGCCTGAAACAAATCAACAAGCAAGAACACAAACAATAAATAATCCATGCCTCCATTTGGTGAAAATGTTTCTATGAAAATAAGTTGACTTCTGTTGCCCTTCAGTTTCCATTATCCGTAGACTTATCAGCTCACCTGACAGATAACCGATAACATCTGTGTCACAGGTTAGAGAAACATTGGTGTAAGAAGTGATAACAGTGTAATTAGCACATCAGACACATCTACTCACATTCCATTCAAATCCACCAATGGCTATCCCTGCAGCTGCAGCAGTCCCAGCGATTCCTACAAAGTGGCCACTGCCAATGTTGCTGGCAAAGAGTGACGCTCCAATCTACGGAGGGCATAATTATTCTCATTAATTATTTGCAGGCATAATAAATAAATTACTAAATTATTTTTTGGGCTGTATTTGATAACAATAAAGGCATTGAACAGATGATCAAAGAGGGGCAATTCACATGCATTAAAGATTCCCGTTGACTATGCTCTTTTGGGTATGACACATAGTTACGAAAATAGATAAGTAATAGATGATCTACACATTTACTTAATCTAATAAAACCTGATGATACACAAAGTGCCTCCATTATGACACAATGCACCATATTTTATACTACCAACTAGCACGAAACAATAAAACTTATCAGTCAGCATGTGTCTCTGCCTCCGTAATGGCCCCTCATTGCTGTCAGATTGGAAGTTCAGAACAGAGCTTAATATTGATAAGCATGAAAGAGAATCTTTGTCTTATACTGAGCAATACCCACCGGCCACCACACCATACTCCTCCCTGCAAGGAAGAAGCCACCAACAGTGGATCGGTTGGTGCGGACCATAGCCTGCAACAGGAGAAGGGCACACTTTAGAATATCCATAAAGCCATTTGTGCAAAACAGACAACAGAGTCTCTGTTTCAACAGTCTTCAACTGCACATCTGTTAATCATTACATTTTATTTTATACACAAATGCTATAAAAGTGACCAAAAGAGTGAAGAAAACAACTAAATCGCAACATTAAACTTAACAATGACACACTCAGAGTAACAGTACTGCTAATAAATTAATTTAATTTAATTTAATTTGACTGTTCATTGTGAAATGTAAAAATAGTCTGATCTCTGCTATAAAAGTACTGTGAAGCAGGTTGTTGAGTAAGATGCTGTGATTGCACAACATCAGTACACTCCAAAGTGCTGCTATGAAGGTAAAAGCCCTTATTGGTAAAAGTGTTTATCAGGACATAAATAAACACTATCATCACTTCTCCAACATTTAAATCATCATTACATTTACTTTCATGACTTAGTGAATTTATTTTATTTTCTCAGAATAAACTAAAACCAACTAGAACGCTCACAGCTATAAAACTGGTGAGGAGTTAACTATTCACAGGGAAGAAGGATCTAAATGGTCAACTGAAAGGCTGAACAACTCACCCATACTCCGACAGCCAGGACAACCACAAAGTAAATCACAATAACCGAGATATCTGCTGCATTGTTAAGCGCCACGGTGCCCGTGCCGTTTCTTGCATTGCTCCTTATATAGGAGAATCCAAAATAATCCCGAGACATTTTTCCTGAGAGGGGGACCAGAGGGCAGGAGTGTTGCTGGAGTCGCTCCTCTTTGACTGAAGCACCTGCACAGACACTTATGTACCTTTGTTGGAGGTGTGTTTATGTGTGTGAGAGAGAGATAGAGAGTGTGGGAAAGCATTTGGGGGCTGGGAAGGAGAGACAGAGAGTGTGTTTATCCAATAAATGACCAGATATTATGTTTGATTGAAAGTTTATCTAAATGCGCAAATAAACCCAAATGATACATGACTGGATGTGAAAATTATTCTGTTAAAGAGGGTAAGCTTTTAGCAAATAATGCTGTTAATGATCAACCAACGAGTAAAGAAACAGGTGCTCCTTTAAAATAAAGGAAACTCCATCAGCACTGCAGCTAAATTCAACTCAGTCTCATTCAATTAAGTTCAGATCAGTTCAGTTCAAACACATACCATGTTAGGTAACACAAATAAAGCAGTTATATCATATATTGTCACATTTGAGTTCTTGTTAAAAACACAACTGAGCTGCTGCCTCCTGACAGCAATAAGTAACTGTATGTTAACCCATAAAAGATCTGTTACATAGTCCTCATTTGCCCTCTCACTGCCCCCTCACACTGATTTTTTAAAACTTCTGTTAAGTAAAAGTAAGAATATTTGATAATTACAGCTTTTGATAACACATCTCACTCACAAATTTCAGTGTCAGAAGACATTTTTGGCCGTTTGTGTTAGCAGAGGCTCAAATGACTAACTTGAACTCAGACACACAGAAGTCTCATCTCTTCGTAAAACTTTTCTCTTTGTTAAAGCTTTTGGAATGATATAGGTTTTATTTGATTTGATTTTATTCCTATTGTTTAATCTTATCAATTTCATTGTCTTTACTTCCTCTGTGCTCATACCTTATTCTGCCTTGTCTGGTTTTATTTATTTTTGTAAAACACTTGTAAAATTGTTAAGTAAAATAGAGTTGATCATTATTGTAAGAGTAAGTTTTATTATTGAGCTCATAAAATATTGGAATGACTTCTTTTTGATCTCTGAAAGGGTCAGCAAGATGGAAATATTTTATCATTTACTGTAAGTCTATGACAAATAAAAAGCCCCCGACATCACCACAACCCTGTCCTTTTCCAGGAGTGTTTATTTGTGTGTTAATTATTAGTCAAAAGGCCAATGTTTGACCGAGGGCACAATAGAAATTAAAAAGATAGATGGTAAACAGTTATCATGTTATACATGTCATGTTATACTGCTTCTGTACACATATACAGTAAGTACTATGAGCGTCCACTAGGTGTCTCTGCAGGACGAGGAAACCAATGTAGGATTCAGGTGACTCAGGCGAATGAGCTACAGATATTTAAGGATAATATTACCTATATTATTCACCTTGTTTAAAAATATGTTTTGTTCAATTTTGAGGTCATTTACTTGAGTGTTTTCATTTTTATACTTCAAATCCACTACATTTCAGAGGCATGAATAGTACATTTACTTCACTACATTAAATAACAATATTAATCAGCCCTACATTTACCAACTGCAACATTGAAATGATTTACACACTAATCCGTCAATAATTATAATCCAATAATATACATTATTGTTTAATAGGCCAGTCTGCATAATGAGTACTTTGATATTTTAAGTAGCCTATATTTTGATGCTAACACTATTTTATTCCTACTTAGATGTAAGTAAAATTGTAATGCATGATGGAGGTATTGCTACTAAGATATTATTGTCCACCCTCAGAGGTGCTTTTTAAGTTGCCTGATAAGACCTCTCTAGACTGCGTTGATGGACTGCACTTGATTGACAGTCCTCACTCAATCACGGGACCATTTACACCATGATCATTGTTATTACCTTATATAGTATAGATAAGACTTCACATAGTTTCCAGCACAGCTCCACCCAACTTCAACCTGACTAAAGGTCTAATTAGACAGAAGAATTGAAAACACCTTAATACCTTAAATACCAGTGAAATATAATCTATGTACTGTACTGTATGTGAGGCTGGCCAGATGTACCTTTAAGGTGTCCTGGGTGCTCATTCAGGGGTCCAGTGTACAGTGGGCCCTGGCAAGAGAAAATAATTTCTAGAAAAACAGAACATCCACCTTAATATTTACATTTTCACTAGTTTAACAAAGTCAACAATAACAGCAAAACACTTTTTAATGATATGGGAGCAATGGTCAGTATTTTACTCTCTATTTAATTTGTGCATATGGAGGTTTTATAGGTTTCTGTAGCAACAATGTAATGATAGACTGGATACACTGCCGAAGGATGCAAAACCTGTAATAAACTGCGTGGTTACAGATACAACAACCAGAAAACAGCCATTTAGATTTTAACCCAATTATAGCTCAGTGTATATAAACTAAGCAACAGCTGCCTTATAGTAAATGCAAATACCCTAATTATAAACTACTGTAATTAAGAGAGCAATTAAGTAATTAAGCCCTGTAATTAAATGGCTTAAAGCACTCATCAACAAAAAACAATACAAAAAAAAAAAATACAAAAAAAATCCATCTCATCTGTGAGTGGTAACTGGTTTATTGAAGGCTATTGTATTGAATTGTAGGTATAGCTTACAGTCTTGCAGTGCAGTGTACAGGATGTTTCCAACCTGGAGTTAATCTGCCTTACTCTTGTCAGATCTATGGCAGTAACCTCACTGTTCTCACAAATCCAATTTGCACTAGATTTCACACACCCACCTACCTTCAACATTTTTCACCATATATGTCACAGCGTTTCCGGACTGCTTCGACCCAGTGAACTGCTGCTTGCAGCTTTATCTATCATTATAATGCTGACATCTATGTCCAAGGTTATAGTGCTCTGTCACAGCCGATGATGTGGGGAGGAGAGAACATAAGAGAGGAAGCAGAGAAATTAAAAACTGTTTGTTAATAAAAGAAAATGATAGGTCATATGATTTATAAAGATTATGAGGTAAGAAGCCATGTATATTAAATAACATAAAAAAGATTTAAACTGTATGATTTCAGTAAAAAAAAACACAGATTATAGGTTATATTTAAAAGCAATATAACTGTCAACCTAAGATGTTGATGTATTTGTCTGTAAAATAGTAGTTTGTATCCGAACAGTAAATCTAATACAGCACTGTAGAATTTAAAAAAAGGTGTGCATTATCCCCAGAGCAGAAAGGGAGGGTGGGGGAGGCATCAAATTAAATTATGGAGGGTTAACAGGGAGCCAAAGCATAAACATGTGATTTGTGTTGTGTTAATGTTCCACATCAAAAAGGCTGAATGAAGACGGAAAAAATTCCAAACCATTACTGTGACCACCTTAGCCTTCTGCTGAAATTTAACAGCCTGGACGGTGTTGAAAAGATTAAATGTATAAAGGGAGTTGAGATGGGAGAGTTATCAGACTGGTACTGTTACAAATGGCTGCTTGAAATCTCTAAATGGGGACAATCAATATTCACTTGAATGAAAATCAATCACTGGAATGAGGCCAGTGCTCTGTGGGGATTAAGGCTCGGTCACACTCGCTGATTTCACTCCTGATTTCAAACCCAAGAGGAGTCTTTGGCCTTCTAATAGCTCCAAAAGGTCAAGATTTTGATTTTGTGTAGCGCAATTTACTTCTATGTCCACCCAGACTGAAATCTGTGCTCAGCCCTGGCAAGAACCTGTTGGTGTTTAAAACACAATCACACCACAGAGCCGATCACATCCCAGGGCAGCAAGACCACAAACAAACACTGCAGATGAGTGCAAGAAATTGATCTCTTGAAGCTGTCCATTCCTCAAACATATACTAGTTTACATAGTGTGGGAATATACTGGAGTTGTCTCTGGCAAACAGAGCAGTGATTGAGTGCCCTGTGGTCAAAACAGACACAGTTGTGTCTTATGTACTTTTCCCTGTGTCTACATATCTATCTGAATCAGGAAACACTGCAGAGGGGCCCAAGTACCAGCACAGGGAAACAAACCTGCAGGCTGGGCCTCAAAAAACAGACTTATGGATAATATTTATCTCGTGACTTCAACACCAGAGTGGTTTCACATTGTGCTTTGTCCGAGCTTCAGTGTGAAGTTAACTGTTAAAAATCAGAGAACAAAAATACCAAATGTACGAGATCACTTTCACACCATCACCAGTCTGCTCGCTTTTCTCCTTTGTTTGATTTTGCAGCTTGTGATTGCACTGACGTGTATCCAGCTCTCCTGAATGTCAGAGCATCCAACCACCACTGTCACATTGTTATGGCTTACTAGGACACCTGAAGACAAGCCAAAATGTCAGCTGTGCAAAAGTTGTCAAAGAAATCCTCCATTCAAAAGAATGAATGTTTTTTTGGTGCATGAGTGACAACAGCTCATATAAAATTGCACAATCATAAACTATGTATGACCTAAAACATTATATTTCTGCGCATATCTGATGAAAAAGAGTTTTTACTTTATTAATCCCCAATGGGGAAATTCATTTTTCGCTTGAATTTTTACACACATAGGCCCAAAATTCCCTCACACACACACACACACACACACACACACACACACACACACACACACACACACAGGGCTCAGGACTTGCAAATGTAGAGAGATGGTAGATGGTAGCACCTCGATAGTGCCCAGGAGGTGACATGGCACCTCTGCAGGTACCGGTCCACACTCCATTCAGCTTTATAAAAAATAAATAAATAAAACTACAAATAATTGTTCACATGCTCAATTAAGAAAGCTCACTTTCATACAGTTGATTGACTAAATTATCGCATTTATCTACTGTGCAGTCAATTCACAGTAAAGAAGGATGCGGCAGAATCCACTTGTAGACCAGCATAATTCATAGACATGGGTGGAGGGAGCGCTTCAGGGTGATCAGCTGGAACTTGCACACGGGCCCCGGAGCACTCATTGGAGGTGAGGCTCCCATGCATGACACAACCACAATGCCCCCCTCCCTCTGATCACACTGGAGTTCACTTGAGCAGAACTGTGGGAGCTGGGACCTGGCGTCTAATGTCCTGAGCTGTCGTTAATGTTATTGGTTCCACCTGTGCTTTTCTCTGCTATGGG